TCCAGGGGGCAGCGCAGCCCTGGGGGGGGCGGGGGCGGATGGTTGGGGGGGGGGGAGTTCGGGGGGCGCCAGGCTGCTGACAGGGGGGCGCTAGGGGGGCCCCAGGCTGGTGACGGGGGGGTCGCTAGGGGCGCGCCAGACTGCTGACAGGGGGGCGCTAGGGGCGCGCCAGGCTGGTGACGGGGGGCCCCAGGCTGCTGACGGGGGCGCTAGGGGGGCCCCAGGCTGCTGACGGTGGTGTAGCTGATCTTGGAGAGGGAGGCGCCGGTGGTAGGCATGTCGTCGTCGGGCGGGGGGCGCCGGGGGCGCCGGGGGCGGCAGCGGGCGAAGGTGGCGGCGAAGGCGGAGCGGAAGCGCCGGTTCATGAAGCAGTAGATGAGCGGGTTGGCGCAGGCCGAGGTGTAGGACAGCAGGTGGATGAAGGAGATGGGGGCGCCCGACAACACCCGATGGGCCGCGACCGGGGCGAAGGCGCGCCAGGTGTTGGCGGAGAAGATGGGCAGCCAGCAGACGAAGAACATCACCACGATGACGACCAGCATGCGGATCACCCGCTTCTTGGCCAGCAGCGTGGCCTGCGAGCCGTTGACGCGGGCGCGGCCCTGCTGCCCTGCGCCCGCCCGGCCCAGCAAGCTCAGCTCCAGCGCCCCCCCCGGCCTGGCCAGCTGCATGTAGCAGCCGTCGTCCTCCACCCCCGGCGCCAGGGGCTCGGTGCCGCCGTGCTGGAGACCTGGGGAGAGAGCAGAGCCGGGGTCGGCCCGTGTCTGCGACAGGCCCGAGAGGAGTGCAAGGGGTCGTAGTGGGGGGCCTGGGAAGCGGATGGGGAGCACCGGGGGCCCCCGGGGTGGATGGGGGCGGTTGGCGGGTGTGAATGAGGGACCCTGGGGGTGGACAGTGTGACGAACTGGGGTTTTATTCATCTTGTTATGGTGCATGAGAGTCTTGCTGTCCTATACCAATACTGTGCGTGCCTCAGTTTCCCTGTGTGCCGCACCAATGGGAATTGGGGGTGTGATTTTGCTGAGGCCCTTGGGGCAGGTGAGGCTGAACAGCTGTTTGCAGCTGCATAACCTGAGACCCAGGCTGGCTGAGAGTC